GCAAAGATGTGCTACTGCAGAGTGTGCAAGTAAATAAAATAAAAATTGTTTAAATAAAATAAAAATCCTTTAAATAAAATAGTCAAATAGTTTCAAATTTAAAATAAATAGTCAAATAGTTTCAAATTTAAAATAAATAGTCAAATAGTTTCAAATTTAAAATAAATAGTCAAATAGTTTCAAATTTAAAATAAATAGTCAAATAGTTTCAAATTTAAAATAAATAGTCAAATAGTTTCAAATTTAAAATAAATAGTCAAATAGTTTCAAATTTAAAATAAATAGTCAAATAGTTTCAAATTTAAAATAATTAGTCAAATAGTTTCAAATTTAAAATAATTAGTCAAATAGTTTCAAAATTTAAAATAAATAGTCAAATAGTTTCAAAATTTAAAATAAATAGTCAAATAGTTTCAAAATTTAAAATAAATAGTCAAATAGTTTCAAATTTAAAATAAATAGTCAAATAGTTTCAAATTTAAAATAAATAGTCAAATAGTTTCAAATTTAAAATAAATAGTCAAATAGTTTCAAATTTTGAAATAAATAGTCAAATAGTTTCAAATTTAATATAAATATTCAAATAGTTTCAAATTTAAAATAAATAGTCAAATAGTTTCAAATTTAAAACAAATAGTCAAATAGTTTCAAATTTAAAATAAATAGTCAAATAGTTTCAAATTTAAAACAAATAGTCAAATAGTTTCAAATTTAAAATAAATAGTCAAATAGTTTCAAATTTAATATAAATATTCAAATAGTTTCAAATTTAAAATAAATAGTCAAATAGTTTCAAATTTAAAATAAATAGTCAAATAGTTTCAAATTTAAAACAAATAGTCAAATAGTTTCAAATTTAAAATAAATAGTCAAATAGTTTCAAATTTAAAATAAATAGTCAAATAGTTCCAAATTTAAAATAAATAGTCAAATAGTTTCAAATTTAAAATAAATAGTCAAATAGTTTCAAATTTAAAATAAAGAGCCAAATAGTTTCAAATTTAAAATAAATAGTCAAATAGTTTCAAATTTAAAATAAATAGTCAAATAGTTTCAAATTTAAAATAAATAGTCAAATAATTTCAAATTTAAAATAAATAGTCAAATAGTTTCAAATTTAAAATAAATAGTCAGATAGTTTCAAATTTAAAATAAATAGTCAAATAGTTTCAAATTTAAAATAAATAGTCAAATAGTTTCAAATTTAAAATAAATAGTCAAATAGTTTCAAATTTAAAATAAATAGTCAAATAGTTTCAAATTTGAAATAAATAGTCAAATAGTTTCAAATTTAAAATAAAAAGTCAAATAGTTTCAAATTTAAAATAAATAGTCAAATAGTTTCAAATTTAAAACAAATAGTCAAATAGTTTCAAATTTAAAATAAATAGTCAAATAGTTTCAAATTTAATATAAATATTCAAATAGTTTCAAATTTAAAATAAATAGTCAAATAGTTTCAAATTTAAAATAAATAGTCAAATAGTTTCAAATTTAAAATAAATAGTCAAATAGTTTCAAATTTAAAATAAATAGTCAAATAGTTTCAAATTTAAAATAAATAGTCAAATAGTTCCAAATTTAAAATAAATAGTCAAATAGTTTCAAATTTAAAATAAATAGTCAAATAGTTTCAAATTTAAAATAAATAGCCAAATAGTTTCAAATTTAAAATAAATAGTCAAATAGTTTCAAATTTAAAATAAATAGTCAAATAGTTTCAAATTTAAAATAAATAGTCAAATAATTTCAAATTTAAAATAAATAGTCAAATAGTTTCAAATTTAAAATAAATAGTCAGATAGTTTCAAATTTAAAATAAATAGTCAAATAGTTTCAAATTTAAAATAAATAGTCAAATAGTTTCAAATTTAAAATAAATAGTCAAATGGTTTCAAATTTTAAATAAATAGTCAAATAGTTTCAAATTTGAAATAAATAGTCAAATAGTTTCAAATTTAAAATAAATAGTCAAATAGTTTCAAATTTAAAATAAATAGTCAAATAGTTTCAAATTTAAAATAAATAGTCAAATAGTTTCAAATTTAAAATAAATAGTCAAATAGTTTCAAATTTAAAATAAATAGTCAAATAGTTTCAAATTTAAAATAAATAGTCAAATAGTTTCAAATTTAAAATAAATAGTCAAATAGTTTCAAATTTAAAATAAATAGTCAAATAGTTTCAAATTTAAAATAAATAGTCAAATAGTTTCAAATTTAAAATAAATAGTCAAATAGTTTCAAATTTAAAATAAATAGTCATATAGTTTCAAATTTAAAATTAATAGTCAAATAGTTTCAAATTTAAAATAAATAGTCAAATAGTTTCAAATTTAAAATAAATAGTCAAAGAGTTTCAAATTTAAAATAAATAGTCAAATAATTTCAAATTTAAAATAAATAGTCAAATAGTTTCAAATTTAAAATAAATAGTCAAATAGTTTGAAATTTAAAATAAATAGTCAAATAGTTTCAAATTTAAAATAAATAGTCAAATAGTTTCAAATTTAAAATAAATAGTCAAATAGTTTCAAATTTAAAATAAATAGTCAAATAGTTTCAAATTTAAAACAAATAGTCAAATAGTTTCAAATTTAAAATAAATAGTCAAATAGTTTCAAATTTAAAATAAATAGTCAAATAGTTTCAAATTTAAAATAAATAGTCAAATAGTTTCAAATTTAAAATAAATAGTCATTGTTTTAAAAAAAAAACATAGAAATTGTTTAAAAAAAATTATCAAAAAATATTGTAAATCATCAGAACATGCTTTAAATCTGAAAATGTTTAAAAATAGTCAGAAAATGTTAACAAAACATAGAAACTGTTTAAAAGTGTCAGCAAATATATTATTTTGTCAGAAGATATTGTAAATTGCTAGAAAATATAAATGTATAAAAGTGTGAATGGTCTAAAAATCAAACTAAAATAAAATAAAATCTCCATTTTAACTGCGTTTCAACATTAGTAAGATTGTCATGGGAACATTTCTTCAAATTGCATATCGAGGTTTTTATTTGAAGCCTCACGTGCTGTCAAAAAAGTCTGCAAGAAGGGGAATAATAAATAAAAAAGGGTAATAAATAAATAAACCTTGAGCATCTTTTGCTCATTAAGAGAAACAGAATTATAGCTAAAAAATGGAACATCGAACCACATGTTACCAAATCCCAACATCTTATCGTTTCATTAAGAAGCCACACAAGGCCTGATAAAAAAATCTAATAATGCATGTAGATAGTAAACTAAATTGGAAAATGTACATAATAATGAAAAAGGAATAAATAGATTTAAAATTGAAGTACCTGAACTGGCTCATAGGAAGATCATCCAAACTTTGATTACAAAATAAGCTTCTCGATGATAATTCCAATATCGACACATGGTATATAACATATTTGTATAATTCAGAAAGCCCAAAACAATATACTGAGAATGATATGCAGCACTTGATGGGTTTATATATAATTCACGAGGACCTAAAAATTTCCAATAGAAGTCATTAAAAGCAGAAGGTTGATTGTTCGAGACAAATTGGATACATATGTCAATCCCAGTCAGTCGAAAAACTAAAGAGAAAATGGCTGAGTGATCTATGATCCAGAACATAATTGTGCAAGTTATTTATAATTACTATTTGCTCACTTATTTAATTCTATTTCTTTTACTACATTTTTTAACTCCCCTTAGGGTAAGTTATAGTAATCGTGAGGTTTCTGGACATTTTGACATACATTACGAAAAATTGATGTATATGTGCGTGTCAAAAATGTTAATGTTTTTAATAATAATTTTTGGTACGGGAAGTTCCAGCAAGTCGCCTTAAGGAACGATGCCGTGCGCCCCACTAGTTTTATTTCGATTTTCAACACCTTTGCTTGTAACTTACAGGTTATGTTGTAAAAATATTACCTATAAGTGTATATATAACTTTTAAGTATAAAAAAATCTGTATTGGAATTCGATGCATCAAAACTGACTACTAAATCGCAAGAATCAGCACAAACCCATAAAACTCGTTCTTAACAAAACTATCAAATGTCTATATACTAAATGTGTATTACCATACCTTTCAATTACTATCCGATCCGCCGCTCGTGACTTCTAAGGGTGCTCCATTTTTCTTGCATCACAAAATATTTCTTGCACAACTAACTACATTATTTATATAGCACTCACTTCTTTTTTTTGCCATTTGTTTTCACTAGAATCCCATAAAGAACTAAGGCGCCTTCAATAAGTGCTGACAGGTCGCCATGTTGTGCAACTTCAGAGTTTTCGATCGGTGAACAGTAGCGCCACAAAGGGCGCCAATTTCAAATTTGAATTTTGACTAAATGATATATGCAAATTGTTATAACTTATTTTCACATTTGTAACGCATTGCAAATATAATAAGTATTGAAGTAAAACTTTTTTGTTGTTGTATGAGATGGCATTTAAGTAAAAATAAATACATCATATAACAATTTTTAATAACGTTCATCAGTAATATGGTAACACTCGTGATGCACACATTTATTAGTGTCAACCATTATACACATTTATATCATAATGATAAATTATATATTTATAATAGCATTAAAAATATGTATAATATTTACAAACAATAATGTAATTAAAGTCATACTTCGGATATGACATTGTCGGTTTGTCATTGTAATTAGCATTTAAAAATAAACCTTCATTAAAGAAATGAAGTAATTGCTGATTAATAAATTCACACAGTAAACTTGTAACAAATAAATAGTTTATTTATAGCATAGATGTCCATTATAAAGTATATATGTATAGAAATGATACAAACCTACACAAACTATTCTTGATAAAACGCATATTATTATTGCTCCTATTATTTTTTTACAGACAGAGGAATACCTTGAAATTAAATTAATAACAAAAATATGCACATACTTTAATTATTTAATAAAAAAAAAACTTTCTGTTTAGTTTTACAATTGCGTTCGACTTTCAACACTAAAGAGCACTTATATATATTTTTTTAAAATCATTTCCTCTCGTTCAACCATTTTGCAACACTGTCTTTGTTAACTTTTAACCATTTTATATTATTGGAAACAGTTTCCAGGGCTTGTTTCCGATCAGCAGCTCCTGCTCCGGCCTCCGGAAATTTGGCAAAGAAGTCATTCATCTGAAAAATTAAATTTTAATTCGGGACATTTTTTTGGTTTTTGTCAAATAACTCAAATACTTTATATAAAACCACCCCTTTTCAATTACACAGGGTGAAACTAGATAAAATTTACAACATTTCCTAGGTCACACTTTTATACACTCCGATATAAAAATTTTGAATAAATGATAATTTTGTATCATCTTTTATATCGTCTTTTTACCTCTTTCAGCCTATCCTCAGTAGTAAATCTGTCGGTAACAGATGGAATAAGTCTGCCCAAATTTCTTTCCCCCAATCCGAACCTGTCGATCATTTTTTGCCAATTGTCCTGGACGTATTTCCAGGTTGCATCAGTACTTAAAGGATTTGCAGAAATCGAGGACATGCATTTGAAATAATCCTGCCCTCGAACGTTTTCTTCTAGCCAGGCCAAATCTGTATACCTGGGGAGGAAAAAATTGATAAAAATTAATAAAAATGAGATGAAAATTAGATAAAAATTAGATAAAAATAGTATAGAAAGGTCATTTTTTGTGCAAAAAGTTTTTTGAAGTTTTGACTAAATATTTAAATAAATGAATGTATATACTCTAGTACAAAATTATTATTTAAAACCTCTTTTTAGTCAAGAAGGATCTTCTGAGCTAATATATACAACAAAGATTTCAAAATTCGTTAAAAATAATTTAAAATTAAATGAAATGGTAATTTTGATACTAATAATTTTTTTTGAAGTTTAAGCTATTTATTTAAGTTAAAAATGTTTATTTTAGTATATATTTGTTAGTTAAAATCGCTTTTTATACATATATTATTATCGCGTTTTGATATTTCTGAAGTCGATTTAAAGTAGACTTTGAAAAATTCATAAAAAATATTTGCAACTTAGTAAAGGCTAAGTTTTCAGAACTATATATTATTTTGAGGTTTTAACTAAATATTTAGAATAAAAAATATATATACTTTAGTACAAATTTATGACTTAAAATCGTTTTTTATTTAAAATGTCACGAGTAAATTTAAGAAGCAGATAAATCCAATAAAGTTTAAAAATCGTTAAAAATTATTTATATTTAACGAAAAGCATAACTAATAGTGTGAGGGATATTTTTAAGGTTTTAACTAAATATATAAATATTAAAATATATAGACCAAGACCAAGACCGAGACCGAGGAGACCGAGACCGAGGAGACCGAGACCGAGGAGACCGAGACCGAGACCAAGACCGAGACCAAGACCGAGACCGAGGAGACCGAGACCGAGGAGACCGAGACCGAGGAGACCGAGACCGAGGAGACCAAGACCGAGACCGAGACCGAGACCAAGACCGAGACCGAGGAGACCGAAACCGAGACCAAGACCGAGGAGTCCAAGACCGAGGAGTCCAAGACCGAGGAGTCCAAGACCGAGGAGTCCAAGACCGAGGAGACCGAGACCGAGGAGACCGAGACCAAGACCGAGACCGAGGAGACCGAGACCGAGGAGACCGAGACCGAGGAGACCGAGACCGAGGAGACCAAGACCGAGACCGAGACCGAGACCAAGACCGAGACCGAGGAGACCGAAACCGAGACCAAGACCGAGGAGTCCAAGACCGAGGAGTCCAAGACCGAGGAGTCCAAGACCGAGGTGTCCAAGACCGAGGAGACCGAGACCGAGACCGAGGAGACCGAGACCAAGACCGAGACCAAGACCGAGACCGAGGAGACCGAGACCGAGACCAAGACCGAGGAGACCGAGACCAAGACCGAGACAAGACCGAGACCGAGACCATGTCCAAGACCGAGGAGACCGAGACCGAGACCGAGACCAAGACCGAGACCAAGACCGAGACGAAGACCGAGACCAAGGCCGAGACCAAGACCGAGACTAAGACCGAGACCAAGACCGAGACCGAGGAGACCGAGACCGAGACCGAGACCGAGACCAAGACCGAGACCGAGACCGAGACCGAGACCAGACCAAGACTGAGCAGACCGAGACCGAGACCGAGACCGAGACCAAGACCGAGACCAAGACCGAGACCAAGACCGAGACCAAGACCGAGACCAAGACCGAGACCAAGACCGAGACCAAGACCAAGACCGAGACCAAGACCGAGACCAAGACCGAGACCGAGGAGACCGAGACCAAGACTGAGACCGAGGAGACCGAGACCGAGACCAAGACCGAGGAGACCGAGGAGACCGAGACCGAGACCGAGACCGAGACCGAGACCGAGACCGAGACCGAGACCGAGACCGAGACCGAGACCGAGACCGAGACCGAGACCGAGACCGAGACCAAGACCGAGGAAACCGAGACCGAGACCAAGACCGAGGAGACCGAGACCGAGACCAAGACCGAGGAGACTGAGACCGAGACCAAGACCAAGACCGAGGAGACCGAGACCAAGACTGAGACCAAGACCGAGACCGAGACCAAGACCGAGACCAAGACCGAGACCAAGACCGAGACCAAGACCGAGACCGAGGAGACCGAGACCGAGACCGAGACCAAGACCGAGGAGACCAAACCGAGACCAAGACCAAGACCGAGACCAAGACCGAGACCAAGACCGAGACCGCGGAGACTTACCGTTTGATTGACTAGAGTCGATAAAGTCTGTTGGGTTGATGATAGCAGTTGGTTCATTAGTGGAGAATTGAACCTGCAATAAAAAAAACAAAAGGTTAGAAAACATCTTTTAAAATGTTTGTGAAAGGATACATACAGCTTGATAGATACTTGATATGAGCTTACTTACGTTTGATTGACTAGAGTCGATAAAGTCGGTTGGGCTGATGATAGCAGTGGATACAGTAGTGGAGAATTGAACCTGAAATAAAAAAACATAAGGTTAGAATACACATATCGAAATGTTTGAGAAAGGATACAAGACCAAGACCAAGACCGAGGAGACCGAGACCGAGGAGACCGAGACCGAGACCAAGACCGAGACCGAGGAGACCGAGACCGAGGAGACCGAGACCAAGACCGAGACCAAGACCGAGACCGAGACCAAGACCGAGACCGAGACCAAGACCAAGACCGAGACCGAGACCAAGACCGAGTAGACCGAGACCAAGACCAAGACTGAGGAGACCGAGACCAAGACCGAGGAGACCGAGAAGACCGAGACCGAGACCAAGACCAAGACCGAGGAGACCGAGACCGAGACCGAGGAGACTGAGACCGAGACCGAGGAGACCGAGGAGACCGAACCGAGACCAAGACCGAGGAGACCGAGACCAAGACCAAGACCAAGACCGAGGCCGAGACCAAGACCGAGACCAAAACCAAGACCGAGACCGAAGTGACCAAGACCGAGACCGAGACCGAGACCAAGACCAAGACCGAGGAGACCGAGACCGAGACCAAGACCAAGACCGAGGAGACCAAGACCGAGGAGACCGAGACCGAGGAGACCGAGACCGAGGAGACCGAGACCGAGACCGAGACCGAGACCGAGACCGAGGAGACCGAGACCGAGACCGAGAAGACCGAGACCAAGACCGAGGAGACCAAGACCGAGACCAAGACCGAGACCGAGACCAAGACCGAGACCGAGACCAAGACCGAGGAGACCGAGACAAGACCGAGACCAAGACCGAGACCAAGACCGAGACCAAGACCGAGACCAAGACCGAGACCAAGACCGAGACCAAGACCGAGATCAAGACCGAGACCAAGACCGAGACCAAGACCGAGACCAAGACCGAGACCAAGACCGAGACCAAGACCGAGACCAAGACCGAGACCAAGACCGAGACCGAGACCGAGACCGAGACCGAGACCGCGGAGACTTACCGTTTGATTGACTAGAGTCGGTAAAGTCTGTTGGGTTGATGATAGCATTTGGTTCATTAGTGGAGAATTGAACCTGTTATAAAAAAAACAAAAGGTTAGAAAACATCTTTTAAAATGTTTGAGAAAGAATACATACAGCCTGATAGATACTTGATATGAGCTTACTTACGTTTGATTGACTAGAGTCGATAAAGTCGGTTGGGCTGATGATAGCAGTGGGTTCAGTAGTGGAGAATTGAACCTGAAATAAAAAAAAAACAAAATGTTAGAAAACATCTTTTAAAATGTTTGAGAAAGGATACATACAGCCTGATAGATACTTGATATGAGCTTACTTACGTTTGATTGACTAGAGTCGATAAAGTCTGTTGGGTTGATGATAGCAGTTGGTTCATTAGTGTGGAATTGCAGGTTCAATTGATAATCTTCTCTTTTAGAGAAGGTTATCAGTCTGGAACTTCTTCAGATTAGTCACAGTTGAATTAGAAGGATCTGAAAAAAAAAGAACATTAGTTATGTTACATGGATGAATACATAATTGATTTATCCTGAATATCATAATTGATATCATAATTGATATCACTATTGAATATCATAATTGATAGTATACATGATCGATGTATAATTAATTGATAAAATAAATCAAATATATACCTAGTTTTCATACGTTACTTGATAATTCCACTTCCTACAGTTTTCTTCAATTTGTACATTATGTGTTGATGTGACTTAGTCCGAATACTCAGAAATAAAATGTAATAATGTCACAACGGTTTACAATTCGCACTTGGTTGTACAGTTAAAACCAACAAGTCAAGACCAAGACCAAGACCAAGACCAGGGCAACAAGTTAAGACCAAGACCAAGACCAAGACCAAGACCAGGGAAACAAGTTAATACCAATACCAAGACCAAGACCAAGACCAGGAAAACAAGACCAAGACCAAGACCAGGGAAACAAGACCAAGACCAAGACCAGGGAAACAAGACCAAGACCAAGACCAAGACCAAGACCAGGGAAACAAGTTAATACCAAGACCAAGACCAAGACCAGGGAAACAAGTTAAGACCAAGACCAAGACCAAGACCAGGGCAACGAGTTAAGACCAAGACCAATACCAAGACCAAACCAGGGCAACAAGTTAAGACCAAGACCAATACCAAGACCAAGACCAAGACCAGGGCAACAAGTTAAGACCAAGACCAAGACCAATACCAAGACCAATATCAATACCAAGACCAAGACCAAGACCAGGGCAACAAGTTAAGACCAAGACCAAAGGCCTAAGTTAAGATATGAGTTTACTGTTGGATTGACCAGAGTTGATAAAGTCGGTTGAGTCGATGGTGGCAGTTGATTCAGTAGTGGAGAATTGAACCTGCAATAAAAAAACAAAAGGTTAGAATACATCTTTTAAAATGTTTGAGAAAGGATACATACAGCCTGATAAATACTTGATATGAGCTTACTTACGTTTGATTGACTAGAGTCGATAAAGTCGGTTGAGTCGATGGTGGCAGTTGATTCAGTAGTGGAGAATTGAACCTGCAATAAAAAAACAAGGTTAGAATACATCTTTTAGAGAAGGTTATCAGTGTGGAACTTCTTCAGATTAGTGACAGTTGAATTAGAAGGATCTGAAAAAAAAGAACATTAGTTATGTTACATAGATGAATACATAATTGATGATGTATCATTAATTGATAAAATAAATCAAATATATACCTAGTTTTCATACATTACTTGATAATTCCACTTCCTACAGTTTTCTTCAATTTGTACATTATGTGTTGATGTGACTTAGTCCGAATACTCAGAAATAAAATGTAATAATGTCACAACGGTTTACAATTCGCACTTGGATGTACAGAAAACGAATTTATGAATTGAAAGCAGTGATAAAAAGTGTAATGAATGATAATTACACATTGCATTATTTTAAATGATTCAAATGATTACATGATTATTGATTAAAAATAGAATAGATGGTTATTTTGTTAGTATTTGTTAGTGTTATTAAAACTAGAACTACGCATGCACTGTAATATATTAATCCATACGAAAGCTACCATGCAAGCAATCATTCGAATCATGAAATGCAAAGTCTTATTAAATTTGATATTTAATTCAATGATTAATTTTGTTTTAACATTTTCTTTGATTATCTAGGGTTTCTTAATTTTTTATATAAATCAAGTAAAATATTTAAAGCGCCGCATTCATCCAAAGTGCAATGACGTCGATGGCAAATTCAAATCTGCTGAGTGTTAAAAGGACATCAATGTAATTGCAAATCAATGATAAATGTACTTATTAACAAAATTCAATCAATAAAACTTATTGGTATTTTAACTTACTTTTAAGAATCTTCAGTATATTTTTCAGACAGCCTCAGAATGCTTCACACATCTTTGGAATATTTACTAAATGCTCGATATTTAATGAGACATGTCGCTTTTTCATTTGATGGCCACTAATCAAAATCACTTCTACAGTCTTAAAATGACAGTGATGATGTCAGATGAAAGCATTTGAAGAAATATAAAAACAATGTAAACTGTCTGAAAGCAGACAAAAAAAAATTAGGTCGATTGTTATGCAAATCTAATCAACATACCTTAAAGCAATATGACACTCAAACCTAGTTATTGTGTTAATGAATGAGTTTCCTCAGATTATTAACTTCAACCAATGAACACTAGATTTGTCAGGGTCCGACTGATTTCAATTGCAAAATTATTTCCAAAGCAGCTTCATTTTGCTTTCCAATACGAATAAAAACATTGTTCTGAACTTGTAAATTATAGAAAGAAGTATTAAATTGGAATGAACATCATTATAAATGCATTATTAAAATGATGCCGATGCTCAATATAAGAAATAGTAATATTTTTGTACTTCGGATACAATCTTCCATGATAAAATTTAAAACTTTAAAACAGACTGTATGATTAACAGACTCCACCTTTCTACATATAAGGTTTTTCTGATTTATCAAAGTGAAATATCATAATGAAATAAAATTTATTCCTTAATATTGAAGAATAAAAATAATTGTCTTTCAATAAGAAATTAAAATTTAAAAAATAATTAGAATAAAAAAATGGAATGTTGTGGATGGCTAAATGCTCCATGTAAGCGTGGCTAATAATAATCTAAAAAAAAACCTTTATCTCGAATAAATAATAATCCAATAAATATTAAGGCTTCTTGTTCAATAAGTCTTACCATCTATACCTACTACGATAAAGATAAAGATAAATAGAATTCATTATCAATTTTAAATAAAATCATCCCAAAAAATTAATGCACATACAAAATTATCAAATGACAATTGTATCAATCATTATTTCTTTATACTTAATAAAAAAAATCAAAATGCTTCGTATGAAATAAGCACGAGTGAGAAATCTTACACAGGTACAACCTAAGCTGTGAAATATTAAAACTTCTGATAAAACTTTAAACAAATTGTACTGTTCAATGATAACTGAACTATTTGAGAGTAATGATAAAGCAACCAAGTCTAATAAAAAGTAACAAATTTACAAAATGCTCACTTTCTAAATTATGTTTCATAAAGTCTTCCAGATTTCAAATTGTAAAGCTTAGCTTAGACAACTAAATAGTTTTGTGGGGATATCAAGCAGGCTGTTTTTGATTTGTAAAAAACAGTGGTACTTGTCATGTATATTTTTGATATCCAAATATTTTTATAGTCAATAAATTTGATATATTTTTTATGTTGGGAGTTTCTAATTTAATATATTGTCATAATCATTACAACTCTCACATTGGTGACTCACGACGATGGAGGTGAAGATAAAGGAGTTTAATTTTTCGAGGATTTAAGAAGAATTTGACGCAGCACCATAGTCACTGGTCTTCAGAGACGACCTATAAGGTACGTCCAGTTCAATCCATCATAGTTAACGTACTTACTATCTGGATCAGACTTCCGAGGTTACTCATTTGGTATACCCAGACCTCAGTGTCTATTGCTGACAGAAAAAATAATTTGGAGCCTGAACTTTTCATTGGAATGCAATTCAACGTCGGTGACAACGACGAGTCAAAACAAAATTTGACATAATTTATTGGATTCCACAATTCTGGACTCTTATGTCAAAGAAACCAATGATCCTGATTTGGATAAAGAGCCAACTTCTTTCTCTGATCGGAACTCATCAGATACGAATGCAACGCTTGCAGAAATGGAAACTGTACCCATAAATTATGCATTCTAAACATTTAGTAATTCTGATATAACTAATACCGATTACATCGAGGCTGAATCTTAGAAGTTCACCGACATCGAGGTACAGGAAATTTTCCACATTTTTTTTTTTTTAGTCAGAACCTTATGCAGAATATGGAGTTGATGGCAGGTCGAATCACCACATACGGTGGATCTGCTGACGAAAAATGGAAATTTGTAATTGACCAGTATTACAACACTGGTCTGCTATAATCTGCTTTCCCACCACATTTTTATAACGTGTTTCCCTGTATTTTCTTTTTAAACTGTGAGATCAACACTGGGCAGGGAGTGTGTGGGGATATCAAGCAGGCTGTTTTTGATTTGTAAAAAACAATGGTACTTGTCGTGTATATTTTTGATATCCAAATATTTTTATAGTCAATAAATTTGATATATTTTTATGTTGGGAGTTTCTAATTTAATATATTGTCATAATCATTACAACTCCCACAGTTTCATATGATATTTGAAATCAATCAGATGGATTGACTTGAGTAACATTACTCGACATAAATCGAGCACATGGTTAGTTGAAAATTAAATTTCAAAAAACACTAAATTATGATTCACAAAGTCGTCTAGGATTCTAAATGTCAGCTAAGTCGACTAAATATTATATTTAAAATTATCGGACAAGATACAGCTAGGGCACAAGATGAGTGATGGATCGAGTTGTGTAACATTACCCAAAAAAAATCAAGCACATGGTTAGTTAAACTATAAAAAGCATTTTGATTACATAATATCTTTGCTTTAAAATTCTTGAAAATGTAGTGATTGTATTCAAATGGAGTCTCCACGGACCCCTTTGTCAATTCTCCTGATCTAAAAATAAGATTGCGTAAGCATAAAGCAATGGCATTTTTTATTGAACGCTGATTTTATAGTAATATAACTTGGAAAATATTCTCGCCCGAAACATGAAGACACGAGGAATGATTTCAATCCCAATCTCCGATGTAATAATGTACGAGTAATGATGTAATGTTCTCGCCCGGCAAGTCCCAAAGGAAAGAATGAATTTTTTGGCGGCTTTTTTCGACATGAACCATAGATATATGCGAAGATGTGCTACTGCAGAGTGTGCAAGTAAATAAAATAAAAATTGTTTAAATAAAATAAAAATCGTTTAAATAAAATAAAAATCATTTAAATAAAATCGTCAAATAGTTCCAAATTTAAAATAAATAGTCAAATAATTTCAAATTTAAAATAAATAGTCAAATAGTTTCAAATTTAAAATAAATAGTCAATTTGTTTCAAATTTAAAATAAATAGTCAAATAGTTTCAAATTTAAAATAAATAGTCAAATAGTTTCAAATTTAAAATAAATAGTCAAATAGTTTCAAATTTAAAATAAATAGTCTGATAGTTTCAAATTTAAAATAAATAGTCTGATAGTTTCAAATTTAAAATAAATAGTCAAATAGTTTCAAATTTAAAATAAATAGTCAAATAGTTTCAAATTTAAAATAAATAGTCAAATAGTTTCAAATTTAAAATAAATAGTCAAATAGTTTCAAATTTAAAATAAATAGTTTCAAATTTAAAATAAATAGTCAAATAGTTTCAAATTTAAAAAAAAATAGTCAAATAGTTTCAAATTTAAAATAAATAGTCAAATAGTTTTAAATTTAAAATAAATAGTCAAATAGTTTCAAATTTAAAATAAATAGTCAAATAGTTTCAAATTTAAAATAAATAGTCAAATAGTTTCTAATTTAAAATAAATAGTCAAATAGTTTCAAATTTAAAATAAATAGTCAAATAGTTTCAAATTTAAAATAAATAGTCAAATAGTTTCAAATTTAAAATAAATGGTCAAAGAGTTTCAAATTTAAAATAAATACCCATGTAGAAATTAATATGGTCTGAATCTACGAGCAATATATAATCTACATTGGTCAAATTTGAAACCAGTATCGGCTGGTCATAAAAATTGAACATTTTTTATATTGAGGCCATATAGTTAAACCAATATTGGTCTATATTGACCAGACCACCTAATTAATTAATCCTGGCCAAATGAGTCTGGCAATTTGGAACCAATATCGCCTACCAATATTGATAAATATTGGTTTGTTGTAGCCTCATTAACATTGGTCATGAATTATTCTGGCTATTTATAACCAATGCATTTTTTATATACATTGGCTAGATTATTTTTATATAAAAAAATGCATTTTTACTTTAAATACTTTTATTTAATTTTTTTTTAAATACATAGCCCACAGATTTCTTCCATGAGGACTTTTAAGACTATTAAATTTATTTTACAATATGGATAACGAATAACATATATACAAAATTACAATGTATAGTAAAATTAATAATGCGCTTAACATAAAATTACATATAATACAAAATGTAACAAAATTATTTTTTTACAGAATAAGTTAAAATAATGATAAAATAATAATTTAGTTGCATGTTATTTTATAACGGTGTAACATTTAAACAAAAATATTATATTTGCTTTTAATATATTACAAAACAATTAATTCTATCGCTATGTATTTTTATGGAAAAACCTTGTATTGGAACAAATAAAGTATCACTCTAAATGAATTTTGGAAAGTAGATGTGCTTTCACATTTACGTTGATATGAAAATACTATTATTATTATTACAAAATGTTATGAGAAAGTGATAGGTAGGCTTGTTGTTGTACAAATCACTATTCTTGTTAACCGCAGCCATGATCAAAAGGTTTATATTTATGATTTCTTGCACTCCTTTCTATTTAACCAAAAAGTTTTTTCATGGCCGCACTAGAAGTGGCTTCCCCAGTCTTTGATAAATCTTCACAAAACTTTTTCAAAACCTGTCGTATGGGAAAGATTATTATCCAATAAATAGAGCACTGAAGTAAGAACTTTTTCTCCGAGGTGCACCCTTTGAGTGTAACTTAAGCCATCGAGACCCTGTTTGAAGAGCAGGTACTAATGTATTATTATTAAAAATTTTTTAAAAGTAAGTAAAAATGAGTAATAATATATGAAAGCACATAATTATAGTATTTGTTTCTTACCTGTTATAACCAATTTAAGATTGTTACAGTAGAAGCTTTGTTAGGCAAAACACTGTTTCCCATAGAAATATATGGCAATTGAATGAACTTGTTTTGTAATTTGTATTTTACCTGCAAGACATTCTAAATTTAAAAAAATATAACTAATTAATGGCAAAATACTACTAGAAGATGTTAGGTAGGTTTATTGTTGTACAAATCACTGTTCTTGTTAGCATCAACCATATTCGAAAAGTTTATATTTATGAATTCTTGCACTCCTTTCTAATTAACCAAAAAGTTTTTTATGGCGGCACTAGAAGTGGTTTTCCCAGTCTTTGATAAATCTCTACCAAACTTTTTCAAAACCTGTGGTGTGTGAAGGATTATTATCCAATAAATAGACCACTGAAGTAAGAACTTTTTCCCCGAGGTGCACTCTTTGAATGTAACTTGTGCAATCGAGGCTCTGTTTAAAGAACAGGTACAAATCCATTATTATTAAAAGATTTTCTAAAAGTAAGAATGAGTAATAATATATAAACGCACATAACTATAGTATTTGTTTCTCACCTGTTATAAGTAATTCAGAAATGTTTCAGTTCACAGTTGATTTCAGAACTATATCTGAGATTTATGATTACGAGGTTATGTTTTATGAGTTGTCATTTAAGTAATTCTAGTAATATATATATACTATATATATATATATATATATATATATATATATATATATATATAATTCTAATAATATATTTATATATATAAATACGTATATACTGAAATCTTTTATATTAGCAACTGTACAAATACACTTTAAATATATTACAACGATTATTTCTGCAAATATAACACGATAGTTTACAAACAAACACGGCTTGTTCATAGATTCGGCGCCATTTCAACGACGCGTCGGTATTAGGTTACAATACAAACTATTGTTTTATAATGCAAATTGAGGTTAAAATCTAGACAATATATAATAAATAAAGAATTGCAAAGTAATGCAAATTATTTAAAATGAGACATATATTGTATTCTATACTTTGTATAGTATATATATTCCGTAGAGAATTTTCAGATACCAATATCTCATCAGTTGAATCTTATCTTTATAAAGCAATCATTAAGACTTTTTATATTCCAAGCTTTTAAAGTGTCAGCTGAATATTTTAATTTTTTAATGTTCTTAGGTAGCATAATCTCCAATTTAATTTTAATAATCAAAACTTTATGTACCATGACACAGATATATTTCATTCATACAAAACACATTTTTATGAATGAAATATATGTCATGGTACAAATTATAATTTGTAACTTTATTTATTGTTGAAGAAATGGAGAAAGTATCAAAAAAAAGCCTGAAAAATTATTATTTAACACTTTGCACTTCAAGTGCAATGCTCACTTTAAGTATAAATAATTTGTAACTTTATTGTTAAAAAAATTGAGAAAGTATCAAACAAAGAAAAGCCTGAAAAATTATTATATAACACTTTGCACTTTAAGTGCAATGATCACAGTATGCATAAATAATTTGTAACTGTATTTATTGTGAGAAGGTATCACACAAAGAATAATGCTTGTCTTTAATAAATATAATAAAATAACAAACAAAAATTCATTTAAAAATTATATAATATCTTAGGCATTCCCACTGTTTAAGTCCTTTTGAAGAAGTCCTGTAATATGAATTTGTATTTTAGAACTCGTAGAGTAGGGTATAAAACTCTAAGACACATGGTATGGATAATAATTTTCTGCAACAACATACTGAATTTTTTGGCTCCATCCCAATCTCGTGATTGTGCCAGCACCGTGGAAATAGTTTTTATAATATCAGCATCCACTACTTCAGGGCACTTAATTCTGACAGCCTCTGCGAATGAATTTCAGAAATAAATTTCTGATGGAAGTTATTGAGAAATATTTTAGCAGACATACGAATAACAACACTGCATAATTTCAGTGCCGAAAAATCCAGCTTGTTTTTTCGGCCTTTTGAAGAATATTGCACAGCTACAGCCCTGCTAAATATCTTTTTCATAATAGTAACGACTGCTCCTCTCATATTATGCCCACCAAGTAAAGATAATTGGCCGATCTAGTACAAATTTTATATATGCTCACTTTTAGTATATACATATGCTATTTACAAAATTCAAACTTGTTACCAATTCCACAGCAACATCATCATTATTTAATTTCATCTCCATGTTTTGTACATCTGTAAGGCTTGCCATGGGCAGTTCAAAAGAAATGGTAATGCGATTATTAGAAGTTGCTGAATAATCTTGGTTTTGTGCCTCACATAGAGCAACATTTCCTGTTGCTCTTCCTTAATCTTTTTAATTTCATAGCATAATTTCCCAAATGCAATAGATAATTTATCTATAGATTCTTGCGAAGCTATAAATTTGGTTTTGTCTAAATTAATAAAGAAACATTTATAAAAGGACAAAACATCTACGCGTAAAAAAGCATATTTTTATAGAATTCAAACATTCAAATTATAATTTCAATATCAATCTATACTTATTACCTGTAGCATTGGTTGATGAACCTGGATTTGATTCTAAGGCTGAATTTGTTTCAGCCTCCTTGGCATATTTTTGTCCTACAGACTATAACGTAAAAATTTAATATACATTGAAACATATATAAATACAGCATTGAAATATTTTATATTTTCAAACTTACCTCCATTTCAAATATGAATATACAAATATAAAAAACACAATATATAAATTTTATATATATAATATATATAATACGAAATATAATAATATATAATAACAAAATTTGAGGTTATTCCTATGTAAACACACACAAAACACAATTTGACCACATGTGGCTGTACAATTGCGCGCAAATGTAATATTTGACATAGCTTGTGGAGTACGTTATATTATTACGTGAATTCATTATATATTATATATCATAGATTAATAAACATAATATGTTAAATTATAATAAATTAATATGCAGAGAAAATAATATAATTTCAAAAATATAGTCAAAAGTCAATATTCTTATTTTATCGATTATGAAACGCCAACGCAAAATCGAACGCACCTTCAAAGTTATGCCGTTGTTCTGTAGATGCGTGCCGGCTAGTGCACTATGCTGCAATTCAAAACACATGTGTTCAAATTTGTAGGAAATGTTGTAGAAATAAGTAGTGTTAACATATAGTTTTAACTTTTGTTGATTTTTTATATAAATATATATAAATATTATAATTATAATTATATAAATTTTATATATTGTGTTTTTTATATTCTTTTTTGTTTATTCATATATATATTTGAAATGGAGGTAAGTTTGAAAAATTTAAATTATTTTATTGTTGTTTTATACACACATACGTAGACATTAACATATATATATATATATATATATATATATATATATATATCTTATATATAAAAATGGATCGCAAAATGTGTTGGTAAGCGCATAACTCAACAACGCCTGGACCAATTTGGCCAATTCTTTTTTTAAAATGTTCGTTGAAGTCCAAGGATGGTTGTTACGGCGAAAAAAAACGAATAATTGCCGGGAAAACCCTAAAAACAGCCCTTTTCTTTTTTAATCGAGTAGGCAACGCAATTTGTAAAAAAAACAAAGATCTATGTCATGACATTTTGTGTAGTTTTTGATAATCTAATTTTGAATATTATATAATTATAATTTGATTAATAGAAATATCTTTCTATTAATCAAGCTATATTGGCAGCCAACAACATTGATGTAAATTAATTAAATTTCAAAATTCAAGAACAAATTACAGGCGAATCAGTTGATTCGGCAACTAACCAAGACGATCCACCGGAGTTTTTAAACTCGCTGGATTTGCTCGGATTGTCACCTCTAAATCTTCAATTATTATTATATTATTCATAATTATTATTATTCAAAGGATAGCATAAAGCAGAAGATGTTCTCGCACCATGCATCCCAATGCGTTTCCAGTGCGTTTATGGTATCATTAAGTGTTTGTGGTATTAATTTAGAAAACCCATGTTTCTCACATGGAAAATTGTATGTTGTTTGTTCCCGTATTGGAAAACCATCAGATTTGTTTGTCTATGCGCCAGGTAATCAAACAAAAAACATCGTTTATCACAAAGCACTACAATGAAAATTGAACTGATTTTTGAATTATGATTGACATTATTAAAATTATGTACTTACTTTTAAATGCAAATAGTGTTTTATTTAATTATTTTTAATTCACACCGAATTATTACCAGGGTGACGGTTCTGTTCAGGATAATTTTTTGCAAAGAATAGAAAAAAGGTAGGCACAAAACACCGCCACATTACAATATTTTTTGACAGGACGAAGTCTGTCGGGCCGGCTAGTATATATATATATATATATATATATATATATATATATATATATGATTTAATGAACATATTCAATTTTCACCTTATAGTCTGTACAAACAAGCTGGGATATTGTAGTATTTCAAGTAGATAATACTTGTTACCATGTGCCATCGTCTTGGGCTATAGATGATAATAAAACAAAGTATCTTTGGCCGAAGAATGTTAAGCATAGCAAATTAGAGAAGATGATAAATAACTGTGTGCTGGGCAACAGTTTATCATGCTCTGATGAGCTAGAGGCAAAATGTTTGAGGACTACTTCTTCATTAAAAAAAGCGAAGAAGTATGTAAAGAAGGCTGAAATTAATTCAGCCATAGAATCAGATATACCTCCAACCCATGCCACAGGTAATAAGTACAGATTGATATTGAAATTATAATTTGATTTTTCAGACAAAATGTATTTTCAATTCTTTAGCGTGATGCTCATCATTTACTTTACAGAAGAAATCGAGAAAGTTTCCAATAAAGATAAGGCTGAGAAGTCATTGGAGCATCTAGGCAACATATCTATGATGTTCGAAAATTTAGTGCTTGATCTGCAAGAAATCAAGAAGAATCAGGAAGAAATTTTTGAATTTACAGCTTCTCACAGAGAAGCAAAAAATCATATTGTCCTGCCTAATGTTAGAACATTTGTGTTTCCTTTGGAAAGTACAGATGATATAATAAAAATGGAAACAAACTTAACAGAGGAGGGTATTGCTTCTGATTTGGTAAGAATAATAGTTATATATATTTAACTTCTTCATAATAGGTAGTTCATTTGTCTATGGTTGGCCAGACTACATTAAATGGAACAATAACAGCTATGATGTAAAAAGTTTTTTCAAGAACTCTGGCGATGCAATATTCAGCCAGAGGACGGAAAAACAAGTTAAACTTCTCGGCTTTAAAATTATGCGATGTTGTTGTCACTATGTATCATCAAATATTATAGCTTTATTCATTCACACACAGACACACATATTTAATGTTTAATAATGTATTAATACATGTATGTGTTAATAGTTTATTATTTAATATCAAGTAATATACATCAGAAATTGTTATTAAATTATACCTCAACATATTGCACATGCAAATAGTCAAATAGTTTCAAATTTAAAATAAATAGTCAAATAGTTTCTAATTTAAAATAAATAGTCAAATAGTTTCAAATTTAAAATAAATAGTCAAATAGTTTCAAATTTAAAATAAATAGTCAAATAGTTTCAAATTTAAAATAAATGGTCAAAGAGTTTCAAATTTAAAATAAATACCCATGTAGAAATTAATATGGTCTGAATCTACGAGCAATATATAATCTACATTGGTCAAATTTGAAACCAGTATCGGCTGGTCATAAAAATTGAACATTTTTTATATTGAGGCCATATAGTTAAACCAATATTGGTCTATATTGACCAGACCACCTAATTAATTAATCCTGGCCAAATGAGTCTGGCAATTTGGAACCAATATCGCCTACCAATATTGATAAATATTGGTTTGTTGTAGCCTCATTAACATTGGTCATGAATTATTCTGGCTATTTATAACCAATGCATTTTTTATATACATTGGCTAGATTATTTTTATATAAAAAAATGCATTTTTACTTTAAATACTTTTATTTAATTTTTTTTTAAATACATAGCCCACAGATTTCTTCCATGAGGACTTTTAAGACTATTAAATTTATTTTACAATATGGATAACGAATAACATATATACAAAATTACAATGTATAGTAAAATTAATAATGCGCTTAACATAAAATTACATATAATACAAAATGTAACAAAATTATTTTTTTACAGAATAAGTTAAAATAATGATAAAATAATAATTTAGTTGCATGTTATTTTATAACGGTGTAACATTTAAACAAAAATATTATATTTGCTTTTAATATATTACAAAACAATTAATTCTATCGCTATGTATTTTTATGGAAAAACCTTGTATTGGAACAAATAAAGTATCACTCTAAATGAATTTTGGAAAGTAGATGTGCTTTCACATTTACGTTGATATGAAAATACTATTATTATTATTACAAAATGTTATGAGAAAGTGATAGGTAGGCTTGTTGTTGTACAAATCACTATTCTTGTTAACCGCAGCCATGATCAAAAGGTTTATATTTATGATTTCTTGCACTCCTTTCTATTTAACCAAAAAGTTTTTTCATGGCCGCACTAGAAGTGGCTTCCCCAGTCTTTGATAAATCTTCACAAAACTTTTTCAAAACCTGTCGTATGGGAAAGATTATTATCCAATAAATAGAGCACTGAAGTAAGAACTTTTTCTCCGAGGTGCACCCTTTGAGTGTAACTTAAGCCATCGAGACCCTGTTTGAAGAGCAGGTACTAATGTATTATTATTAAAAAATTTTTTAAAAGTAAGTAAAAATGAGTAATAATATATGAAAGCACATAATTATAGTATTTGTTTCTTACCTGTTATAACCAATTTAAGATTGTTACAGTAGAAGCTTTGTTAGGCAAAACACTGTTTCCCATAGAAATATATGGCAATTGAATGAACTTGTTTTGTAATTTGTATTTTACCTGCAAGACATTCTAAATTTAAAAAAATATAACTAATTAATGGCAAAATACTACTAGAAGATGTTAGGTAGGTTTATTGTTGTACAAATCACTGTTCTTGTTAGCATCAACCATATTCGAAAAGTTTATATTTATGAATTCTTGCACTCCTTTCTAATTAACCAAAAAGTTTTTTATGGCGGCACTAGAAGTGGTTTTCCCAGTCTTTGATAAATCTCTACCAAACTTTTTCAAAACCTGTGGTGTGTGAAGGATTATTATCCAATAAATAGACCACTGAAGTAAGAACTTTTTCCCCGAGGTGCACTCTTTGAATGTAACTTGTGCAATCGAGGCTCTGTTTAAAGAACAGGTACAAATCCATTATTATTAAAAGATTTTCTAAAAGTAAGAATGAGTAATAATATATAAACGCACATAACTATAGTATTTGTTTCTCACCTGTTATAAGTAATTCAGAAATGTTTCAGTTCACAGTTGATTTCAGAACTATATCTGAGATTTATGATTACGAGGTTATGTTTTATGAGTTGTCATTTAAGTAATTCTAGTAATATATATATACTAATATATATATATATATATATATATATATATATATATATATATAATTCTAATAATATATTTATATATATAAATACGTATATACTGAAATCTTTTATATTAGCAACTGTACAAATACACTTTAAATATATTACAACGATTATTTCTGCAAATATAACACGATAGTTTACAAACAAACACGGCTTGTTCATAGATTCGGCGCCATTTCAACGACGCGTCGGTATTAGGTTACAATACAAACTATTGTTTTATAATGCAAATTGAGGTTAAAATCTAGACAATATATAATAAATAAAGAATTGCAAAGTAATGCAAATTATTTAAAATGAGACATATATTGTATTCTATACTTTGTATAGTATATATATTCCGTAGAGAATTTTCAGATACCAATATCTCATCAGTTGAATCTTATCTTTATAAAGCAATCATTAAGACTTTTTATATTCCAAGCTTTTAAAGTGTCAGCTGAATATTTTAATTTTTTAATGTTCTTAGGTAGCATAATCTCCAATTTAATTTTAATAATCAAAACTTTATGTACCATGACACAGATATATTTCATTCATACAAAACACATTTTTTATGAATGAAATATATGTCATGGTACAAATTATAATTTGTAAC